AATGATAATCAAATATATAAAAAAGCTAGAAATAGAGTTTAGAAAACTTCTCAATATATCAAGAGTGGAGGGAGAAGAGTTGGATGCCCAAACACCAATAGATGATCTCCTCAAGCTCTTGTTGAATTGAATCACAAAACCGAAACACTCAATTGCTTAAAAGCTTCTCAAACAAACTTAAACCAAACATAAACCCTTGTTAAAACTTTCTTAAACTTGTTTTAAAACTCTCATTAGTTAGTTGGAGAGCTGAAGGCAATGGGGTATTTATACCCTCTCAAAACTCAGCCAAAAAAACCAAACAAAAAGACAAAAACAGCCCAAAGCAACGGTAATAAAAAGAGCCGTTGGAAGCAGAAAAAGATACTGTCGGTCGACTGGAAATTTCACCGGTCGACCGATGGAGCTATCGGTCGACCGGACCGGTCGACCGACAGACTTTGTGCATCATAGCAAAATTTAGCTAAATGGCCTTTACGACCACAAATGGAGCACTTGTAAACTTTGCTATACAAGTGTGCATAGTGTGTAGGTGATTTTGTAGCACTAGATTTAGCACACTTGTCCATAAGTTTCTTATGGTTATCAATGCATGTTTTTAAAGTTGAATCTAAGTATGATATGCGTTCCTTAACAAGATTCAAATTATCATTATGCACAACATCATTGATAATAGAAGTAGAGCATATATGATTATTCTCAAAAGAATTAAGTTTATTTCTAATGCATTCTACTTCTAGCATGGCATTTTCTTTCTCATGAGATAAGCTAGAAATTGATGAGGTTAATTTTTCATTTTCCAAGTTTAACATATCATTGTTTTCTTTAAGATTTTCATTTTCTTTAGCAATGATATCAAACTTGGATACTAGCTTCTCATGATCGGATTCTAAATTATCATGCTTGCTTTTTAAATCAATAAAATTATTTTATAATTTCTTGTAGGCATGCAATAATTTTTCACTAGCACAAGCAAGTTCATCACTAGATAAATCATTATCGGGTTCGAACTCGCAAACCTCACTAGGGCTATCGCCTAGTGGCCGTGTGCATGAGGCTCCACATGAACTTGAAGCGGGATCCTCCAAAGCTTGTCGGATCGCCTCCAAGTCTCCTTGATGCGCTTCTATGAATTTCCATAATGTATAAGCGCTATCAAAAGAATCAAGCTTGTTAGACATAAATGAATCAAATGCATTTAATAAAAATTCTAACATAAGCTTGTTCATAATAAACATCTTTTTATCATGTTTGCTCCACTTGGATTTCTCCAACGTGGGCACAATATAAGCACAATCAATGATTTCCCATAAATCGATATTTTTAGATTGAACAAATATTTTGAATCTAAAACACCATTGAGCATAAGGGAAAGCATTGAATTTAGGAGCAATACTAGAATCATAGCCTAAACAAGATGCATCATTCATATTCATAATTTGTAAAAATATATGCAAGCAAGATACAAATAAAGCTCAAAATTAGATTAGCACAAATAAGATAACTTGGATCTTTAACTCAAGGCGGTTAGACCTTAAATCAAAGAGCACCAAGCTCTGATACCAATTGTTAGACCCTAGAGGGGGGGTGATTAGGGTCTTATGCTAATCTAATCCGATTTAAGTGCCAATTAAAATTAATTAACAAGTATATTCTTGCAAGATAGATATACAAGAGTTATGTGCAAGAATAAGCAATATGAACAAAGGTAAATATCCTAGCAATGATATATACTATGAGATATATGCAAGGATATATGAGCTAACACAAGATGATATATCCTATCAAAGAGATATACAATATGATATATGTATAGGATATGTAAACTGACACAAGGGGTAAACAATCTAAACAAGATAGTGGATGATATAGATAATGAGCTAATGACAATGGCGATATAAGATATGAACATAAATATGAATGAACGCCAAAGCACACTCAAACAAGCAATATGATCACGGAGTTCGGACCTTCCGTCCTACGTCTCCGCTCCCCACTCCCGGGGAGAAATCCACTAACACAATCCGGTTTGGAAGCCGGAACTTCTTCTACACACTCGGTTTTCTAGCTAACCGAAAACTCTACAACTCACACTCTTGCAATCACACTCTACACCCACTAAGTGTTGGACCTAGCCGTGTCTCCCTCAAGTGCTCGGTTACAACCTCTCCCTAGGCACGTCAACCGACGCCACTCCTCTTGGGACGATCCCCGACTCTCACCACACACTCCTCACTCGGTGTACAAATGTATTACAAAGTGATCTCACAATTAAGCACAAATACAGTAAATGATTTGTTCTCTACAATAGGTGAGAACACAATGTAAGCTCAATCTCACAAATCACAATCCCACAACCCACTATATGATGTATGAAATGCTACAAGCTCAAATAGGGTGTGTGTGATAATATGAGCATAAATAAATTCTAACTCAATTAACAAACTAGCAATAATTGATAATATGAAAATAAAAACGAATTGCTAGAGAATAGAGTTAGAAAAACTTCTCTAGAACAAGAGAGATGGAGATGGAAGATTGAAAGCCCAAATTGAGATTGTTCTCCTCTTCTTGTAAAACAATCTTCACAAAACTAATTTTGTAAATAAACACTTAAACAAACTAATAAACTCTTTTTAAAACTTTTCTTAGATGATTATAGAGCTGGGTATAAGGGGGTATATATAGGAGACCCCAAAACACAAGAAAAATCCAGCAAAAAGACAAAAAACCCGAAAAACAAGGAGTCAGAAAAACTAGCCGTTGTACAGTGATAAGTCGACTTGCTACAGTGATAAGTCGACTTATAACTAGCCGTTACGGTCAAAAAACAGCTTATAAGTCGACTGCAAGTCGACTTAGAAGATGGTTCAGGTTTCTGGCAGAGTCTGAAATTTTGCGTATCTGGTTTTGTAAAATCAATTAAAAATAGTAAATCAACTCCAAACATTATGAAATTTTGAGGGATGTTTCTAAACATGTAAATAAACATTTTACGAAAAGAATTTATGAAATATCACTTCTCAGTTGTGAGAAATAAATATTTGAATACAGATATTTCAGATTCTAAAAACTGCTGAAACACCCGATTTTCTAAAACCAATTTGACACAGTAAATCAACTCCAAAAATCATGAAATTTTAAGGGAAGCTTATAAACATGTATATGAACATGTTAGAGAAAGAATTTCTTAAATATCACTTCCCATTTGAGAGAAATAATTTATTTTGTAAACTGGTCAAAAATACATAACTCTGCAACACTTCATAAGTCGACTTAGAAAATGACATAAGTCGACTTGGTATAAGTCGACTTAACAGTTCGAGTAAGTCGACTTGGCAGAGAGTTTTTGCACATTCCAGAGTAGTTCATAAGTCGACTTGTCAACTCTGATAAGTCGACTTATAAACGTGCACAGGCACTGTACATGCTGAAAATCTGATTTTAAAAGTGCCTTTAAAAATAACAAATAAATTCCAAAAATTATAAAACTTTGGGAAATCATTGTAAACATGTAAATGAACATGTTACAAAAGGAAATTTTGGAATTGCACTTACCAAAAGTGAAAACTCATCATTTTATAAAACTAGTCCAAAACATGAAAAGTAAACATACATGTTTTTTGACATTTGACATAAACCATGTTTTGAAACTTTGTAAAATATTTGTATGGACATAATAAAAGATGTTTATGATGTATATATAGTCCAAAACATATTTTTCATAAAAACACCTATATTTACGAAAATCATAAATATATATGTGTGTGTATATTTGAGCTTATAGAATTAACACACATTATATAAAACCTAAACTACAAACATAATAAACTATATACCCAGGCTAGATGAAGGTCTTCAATGAGCTCAACTTGGTAAACAGGCAGATGAAGCTTGACTTGGATCTTTAACATGAATGCAATGCTTCAACCACTACTCCGCCAACCTCCATTTGATATGATCGTGAATGCGCAATTCCATCCATCCTCCAACTACGTTGTTTGTCTACAATATATAAGAATGTACAAACACTAGACAAACAACATTAGAAGTAAATTGTTTGTTAAACATCATCAAAACAAGAAGGCCAACAGGTGTTTGACGGATAATCAGCTATCTGTTGTGATTTTTAAACAGCCTACAAAAATATGTACAAATCATAAATATTTAATAATTTAAATGGTTTAATTATATCAATAGTGTTACTTAAACTAATGATTACATTATTATTTAATAATTATACTCCTAAATAAATTGTTTAATAATATAATAATAGACAGATTTAAATAACTATTAATTGTATGTTAATAATAGTATAAGTACTAATAATAGTATAAGTTAAAATTTTTTAATCATAGTGCAATAAAATAACTTTTAATAATTACGTATAATTTATTAAATAATATAATACTAAATACAACAGCATGTTCACGTGCAAAGCACGTGCATTATACTAGTTTTCTTAAAGCCCAAGATAACAACAATTTATAAATCAATTAATTGCAACTTATAAATATGCAAAGTTGCAATATTTTCTAGAGTTGAGATGCGTTCACCTCACAATCGAGCATTAAGTTTGTGCTTGGTACTAAGTATATCCAAATTTTTTTTTATCTCTCCCTTTTTTTTCCTTAGATGATGGATTCATTTTGTTTCCTTTGGGAAAATGCGACAAAGATGTTTTCGTAATGCTCAATATTTAATTGCACGCCTACAGTTTATTCATGTAGCATTTGTTTCTTCCTTTTTCTTTTCTTTTGCCGTTTTATTCGACTAACAAACGAATAGCCGTTTAGGATATTAAACCAATTAATCTAGTTCGACTCCAATTAATCGAGCTGTTCTTGCTACAGTATAGCGGGTCTCATATAAAATTTTTTAAAAAAATTTATATGGGGTTCGCTGTACTGTAGCAGAAAAGAGGGGTGTGATTGATGGTGTGCATGTAGTGCCTCTCTTGCACATAACCGGTCTCCTCTATACTTGGGACGTCTCCTCTATACTTGGGTTGTACCATCCTAATAAGTACTACTTATTAGGCGAAAGCGCAGGGTGTTTTGGGTTCGCTGGCAGAAATCAGTGAGCTATAGATCTTCGTGCGTATGTCAAGAGGTTACTATAGAGGCAAATGCAAAACAAATACAAATGTTTGGTCAACAACCATCAGCGACGCCTCCTCCTCCTCCTTCTCCTCCGCCGCCGCCGCCGTGGTTATCATTCATACATCGATCACCATCCATCCATCCCAGCATCAAGCCAAACCCGATCCTTTGCCCTCCCCTCCGCCATTAAGTCAGCTGCCGCCATCCGTCCCTCTCCTCAGGCCGCCAGCTCCACGCCATCTCCGCCGTTACGGGCCTCTCTCGGACCCCTTCGTACAGTCCTCTCCTCCACATGTACCTGAAATGCGGCGTCTCATCCGACGGCGACGAGATGGGGCGGAGGGATGGCATCCATCCCAATTTGGTGACTTGGAATGGCCTCGTTGCGGGCTTCAATCATAGCGGCAACTCTCGCCAGGCTGTGCTTGTGCTTCGCAGGATGCGTTCCCAAGGGTTTTCAGTGGATGGAATCACCGTCTCCTGCGTGCTATCTTCTGTCGCGGACTTTAAGGATGAAAATTGTTCCATCGCCATTGGGGCGCAGATTCATGGGCATGCACTCAAGGCGGGTTTCTTATCATCGGATGGTTGTGTTGTGAGTTCCCTCATTGGCATGTACGGGAAATGTTGCCGCAGTGAGGAGATGATCCGAGTTTTTGATGACTATAAAATGATGATGGACGTTGGGTCGTATAATGCTCTCCTCACCGGGCTCTCGCGCAATGGCCGGGCAGAGGAAGCACTAGCTTCATTCAGAGGATTTCAAGGACTACTAGGCATCCAACTGAATGTCGTGTCTTGGACCTCCATAGTTGCTTGCTGCGCTCAGAACGGGCGGGATATGGATGCGTTGGATTTGTTTCGAGAGATGCAGCTTTCGGGCGGTGTGAAGCCCAATCTCGTAACTATTCCCTGCGTGTTACCCGCCTGTGCAAATATCGCCGCTTTGAAGCAAGGGAGGGCTGCTCATTGCTTTTCCCTCAGAGGGAACTTCTCAGAAGACGTTTATGTCTCCACTGCTCTGATCGATATGTATGCCAAGTGTGGAAGGATTAAAGAAGCGAGATCAATCTTCAATGCGATGCCAACTAAGAATGTTGTTTCTTGGAATGCCATGCTTGGAGGCTATGCAATGCATGGCAGGGCAAGGGATGCAATTGCACTCTTTGAACTAATGCGCAAAAGCAGGCAGAAACCCGATTTCATAACTTTCACTTGCATACTATCAGCTTGCAGCCAAGCTGGGCTAACCGAAGACGGGAAGTCGTACTTCAATGCAATGAATAAAGATTTTTGTATTGTAGCCAGAATGGAGCACTATGCTTGTATGGTTAGCCTCCTCGGTCGATCAGGGAGGCTGGATGAAGCTTATGGATTGATCCAGGCGATGCCTTTTGATCCTGATGCTTGCGTTTGGGGAGCCTTGCTCAGCTCCTGTAGGGTCCATGGAAATCTGCAGCTGGGGGAGGTTGCAGCAGAGAAGCTCTTTTATCTGGAGCCAGGGAATGCTGGGAATTATGTGCTTCTTTCCAATATTTATGCCTCTAAAGGCATGTGGAGTGGAGTGGACAGAATGAGGGATAAACTGAAGAGTATGGGAATGAAGAAGGAGGCAGGTTGCAGTTGGATTGAGGTGAAAAACATGGTTCATATGCTGCTGGCTGGTGACAAGTCCCACCCACAGATGGGGCAGATAATTGAGAGGCTAGAAAAGCTGAGCACAGAGATGAAAAGGCTTGGGTACAGCCCGGGTATGAACTTTGTGTTGCAGGATTTGGAGGATCAGGAGGAAAAAGAGCATATACTGTGTGGCCACAGCGAGAAGCTGGCACTAGCACTTGGCCTCATAAACACAACCCATGGGACTCCTCTCCGGGTCATAAAAAACCTTAGGATCTGTGGTGACTGTCACACTTTTTTCAAGTTTGTTTCAGGCTTTGAAAGGAGGGAGATAATTGTGAGGGATACTAATCGGTTTCATCAATTCACAGATGGCTGTTGTTCTTGTGGTGATTATTGGTAAGCCCACGATCAGAGGGTCTTTGAAGACCAACATTACTACTCTTGACCCTCTTGTCCTTACTATCAGCAAGCAGCTCCTTTCTTTGCAATGCTTGTTCCTATGAAGCTGTTCAATACCCTAGGGCGGGCCTTGCATTCCTGATTTCAAACTGTTTGTTGTCACTTTTGTATCCATGTTGGAAGGAGGTCTGTGATCAATTGAGAAGAACATCCAGCTGATGCAGTGCACGCGGAGGCATCTAGGATGACCTTCACCGATTTTGTAACTCATCGTCAAGCTCTATCT